GCCTTTACACAACCTAATCTCATGACAAAAGCTAAACTTTTAAGATACCAAGATTTATTTAAAAAGGATGGTGAACTAAGGTCTAAAGAAGAGCTAGAGACACAGCATATCTATATAGACTGGTGGTCCAGAGTACAGGTGGAATCTAGATACACAAAAGACAAAATAGAAGATTTCTACTCAGAATAAACGATGTTTGATAAGCTTTTATTAGGTTCAAAAGATAAAATTTGGTAAGAAAATGTATAACTATCTGTTAGAAATGAAAATGCAAGATGAAATGGTTAAAGAATGTATGATTAAGTGGGCACAAAACATAGGGCATAATATTGACATTGATCAATGGTTGAAAATATGGCAAAATAATATAAAGCTGTATTATCATATGTGGTGGTCATGTAGAGTAGCGAAACAGTATTGGAAAAGAGTACATGCTGTGTTGCAACAAATATTGCTTTGTAAGGTGCCATTAACTCCAGAACTGTTTTTATTGAGTATGATACCTGATAATATAGATAAGACAAAGGAATATATAGTTATATACTGTATAGTTACTGCAGCCAGAATTCTCAATGCCAAAAATTGGAAAAGTCTTTTTTCTCTTTAACAAAATGGTTGAAACAGTTTATTTAAAAGTAATCTTTATTATCTAGATTATTTAATTTCTCTAGGAAGCCGGTGGCAAGGACCACAGTTACTGCAGCCAGAATTCTCAATGCCAAAAATTGGAAAAGTCTTTTTTCTCTTTAACAAAATGGTTGAAACAGTTTATTTAAAAGTAATCTTTATTATCTAGATTATTTAATTTCTCTAGGAAGCCGGTGGCAAGGACCAAGTCTGCACTGAAAAACTAGAAGCTACTATGAATCCCAGCTGGTTAATTAAGAGTTCAGCCTGGAGGCAGGCAGTGCATCATGGCCTCTCCCATTTTGAAGAGACACTTGTCCAGCAGGCTGAGGCAGTCCCGAAAGCAGCAAAATCAGGGAGCTGTACAGCGGACAGATTGTATTTGTCTTCAGTGTGGAAGGGATTGTCACTCTCAAATTGACCTTCTCAGCCACACTAGACGTTGTTCCAAGTCCTCTATTCAGAGCACGTTACCAGTCTCTCGAGACTGAAGGATGCCTAATTTAATCTAAATTAATTCAAGTAACGAGTGCTGAATGTCTGTATACAAAGAAGAGCAGGGAATACATCTGGCAGGTTCACCTTCAACCTGTGTTGTTCTGTAAATTGCATTTTCCATGTAACTACAGTATTATAGTCAAAGTGCCCTATTGCATCTGAACATGTTAGATGTGTTTGAAAGCACTTGTTCATGAATAAACGAGACAGGTAATTTCTGTTTTTGGGAAATGAGGCCTGATCTCCACCAGGGCTGTTTTTGGACTGCTCCCCAATAGTTTTAGCATTTATTGTGCAAGATTATTGTACCAGTCTTGGGTAACAGGCTTAAGTTTGGCGTCCACACTCTTGTTCAGCAATCTAGCAATTTATAATACCCTGGCCATTGCTTGATACAAGCGCTTCTCTCCGCCTTAACTTTTAGAAGTGGTGAAAACAGAAAATTTATGGCTAAGATGGTAGGTTGGTCACATTCTACAGGCTCCGTTTACCTCCCCAACCAACGAGTGTGTCAGAAAATGCACATTTCCCTTCACGTGAGGTAAGGGCCGCAGCCCAGTCACTTTCCCACCTCGTCTGCCTTCAGGCCTGAGGAAGAGTCCTGTGTGATTCCAAAACCTGACTCGTTTTTACCCCCTTCTTAACCCGTTACTGGAGTTTCACATTAAAACAATAACACAGCCATATGATACTTCTCAACGTCTCATCCCGGCCTGCTTTTCTGCGACCAAAGCTTTCAACAGACAAGTAATTTCTCTTTATTATTTCACTGGATCTGGGGGAATGGGATGTTTGGTGCGGCCGCCGCTGCCATGGCGAAACCATTCCACCATCACCGCCGCATACAGTGCATACAAACAAAAGCAACCAGCAAGCAAACACACTCCGCAGGCTCCCTCTCGCGAACAGGAGAGGCGAAGGCAGGTTCTCTCCCCCCCCCCCCGCTCCCTGCCACCATCTTCGCCGCGAGGAGCCCCTGCCAACTCCCCACCCACCCCTCGCCGACTCATTCGCTTCCTCGCCCCGCTGCCCCTCCCCTTCGGGCTCTCCCAACTCGGCGGCGGCGGCGGCGGCGGCAACCCGGCCTCAACCTCGCGTGCGCAACTCTTTCTCTCTCTCACACACACACACACTCACATAGACACACACACCCCGAGACGCACGCAGCGCAGTCAGGCAGTGGCACTCGCAGCGCAGCCACGGCCGCTCCACCAGGCATGGCACAGGGCTCTCCCTCACTATGGCAGCCGCGCGACACAGCACTCTCGACTTCCTGCTCAGCGCCACAGGTGAGGCACTTCGCCGTCCCGCCGCCTCTCTCTCTCTCTCTCTCTCCCACCCCCCCGGGCCGCCTTTCCTCTCCCCGGGGAAACCCAGCCCACGCGCCGGCCGGCCGACCTCTTCCTCGCCGTGCAAGAAGACAGGCTGGGCG